TCCTCAGTCTTTTGAGATGAGATTTTCAAAAGCTCTCAGTGTGGGGTAACTGCTCCCATGGGGACTTTTGCCTCTGGCACTGGAGAGTAGCAGGGATGGGTGAGCGCATTTGGACACTGCACCTCTGCTACCTACGCCATGGTGGAGGGCAGGAAGCTAAAAGCAGGGATAACATTCAGACCATCACAGAGTGGTGAGAGGTATCGACAGCTGGATGGAGGGCTGTGAAAGAGGGGAGGGAAGGTGCTGGATGGATGGAGAACGGGAGCCGAGGGGAGGCCGGCGCGAGGTGCAGAATGACTCAAGGAGACACGGGAAGCCAACCTTTCCCCTTAAACACTCCTTAAATCTTTCAGGCAGAGAGACAGGTAGCGCCAAACCCAGAGGAGGGCTGGTTCTATGTTGTCTAGGGAAAAGCAGAAGAGAGTCAGAGAGGGCTGCAGACAATCCAACGGCACTTGTGCTGCCAGGCGGCCAAGCGTCTCCTCTCACCTCCTCCGTCAGTTTGGATTTCTTCTTGAGTGTTAAGGAGACCAGTTTGTGCCGCACACTGTTCTTCTTGTGCCCATCAATATGAGTACTCTGCAAAGCAAAAGGCGTGGATGCAATGTGGTGAGACACAGAGCCCTTCCGTGAACATGCGCTCCCTGCCTCCCCCAGGCTCCTGCAAAAGACCATTAATCCCAGGCAGGGAGTGAGATATTTCAGAGGCTCGTGGGAATCAGAAGTGTGGACTCATATTCCTGTGCCTCCCGATAACCCAGGTCTGGCTCTGAATTTTGTAGATACTTTCTAATCAATGAGCCTCCCTCAGGCCAAAATTACATATTGGGGACATCTGAAAAAAGTAATGTTGAATACAAGGCTGATTCCTAGTCAGCCTCTCAGTTCTGCTGTATGCCATTGAGGCTTGTTCCTACATTGCAAATGAGATGAGCAAGACCACTCTCTGAGATAAGCCAGCAGGTTTGTGAGCTGGAAGTCATCTAGCCAGGGATTCATGGACAGGTAGTTACCCATTGTGGTTTCACCACTGTTAACCAGCTCTGTGCTCTATCCGATTTCCTAGAAGAATAAAGGTAGGACAGACCCAGGCACTGACTACATATCATCAAGTTACTGCTGGCTTTCTACTTTTATAACAAACTTATGTCAGCTGGCATGGATAATCACTTCACTTTTTGACTTAGTTAACCTTTCCCTATTTAAAAAACTTTGAAAAGACTGTGATTTTACACCGGATCAACACTTTGAGTCCTGCAGCTGTGATGGTTTATACCCATCATAAAGTCAAGTTTGTACTTGGATTTGCATATCATCATGCTCAGGGTCAGCTCACATGTCTCCCTGCATTGGTGTGCACTCTGCACAGCAGATGTAACCACAGAGAAAAATGACAGCTTAAATTTCCCTTCTCTTCTGTGCTACCTGATGTCTCAGTTGGCCAAAACACACCTTTTTGTAACAAACAAGCGAGAAATGATGGGTAGAAGGAATGAAAGGTGATTCTTGGTGTATATTTTTTTACAGAATTACAATCCAGATGATGCTACTCTCCTTCTTAGGTAATTCACTGAAAGTGCTGAACGATACCACTATCTCTAAAAACTAGGAGATTTGTTAATTTACACCTGCAAATGCTGCAGGGCCTTGTCCAGATGATACTACAAAATACTTCTTGAAAATGCAACAGTGCTATCTAGAAAATGCCCAAACCAGGTAATATCTTGTACTATTGAACAAAGTAATTGCCAAAGATGAAAGCATATCAGAGCTATGGACAGTGATTTATCCAGAGCAATGTCTTATCTGGGAAGGGTCCTAAGATGAAGTCCGCCAGTGATATCCCAGAATGCACTGAGGATGCAATAGAGATTATTAGGGTTTTTTTTTATTTCCACAGCTTAATCTCCTGGTAACTCTTTACATCCTGCTCCAAGATTAAGTACACAGTTTTAATTTAGTCTTTTCTGGCCCAGGGCAGATCGAAAAGAAATCCCCAAACGAGAGACTGATGACAAAGGACATTGCATTCCCCCTATGTATTTCTGCCCTATGGGGTAGAAGAGAGAGATCAAAGCCCCGTGAGAGATATCGTGGCACTTCCCTTACTGTACTGCTTGAGGACACTGTTATCCTTGTGAAGAAGGGACAGGATCAATACCTGACACACGGGTAATTCTCCCTTTGTAGCACAATTGCATATTAATTAGACAAACCGATTGCCTGCAGCAAACCCCACAAGTTGTTTCTTTCCAACACATTTCAATATCCAACACCTAACAACAGCGTTTCTTTTACAGCCGCAGCAGTTACCTCTCCTTCTCCCTGCAGAGCCTGCAGTTCTTTCTTATAGGTTTTCTTCCCAAGAGTCTCATAGATTTTTGTCATTACTGGTATCTTCTCGCCACCGTCACTCATGGCTGTATGATACTTCGGCTCAGGGAGGTCTCCCATGAAACGGAGGATAGTGATCCATACAGCAAGTGCTGCCTATTTGAAAGGAAAGATTAACTCCATTAGCTCACACCGGGGCAGTGGAGGGGGTGGTCAAGCCATGCTGGATTCACCAAGGTCCCCACTGTGGTCTCTCTGTACAGCTGCAGGAGATAAAACACTTTCCTGCGTCACACAGAACAGTCCTGCCTGTAGCGTACATCCCATCTGAGCAAGCCAGGCAGGCTGGTGGTTGGGACCACAAATTCATGCTCTGTGTTCACGCCATCATGAGTGCGTTTGTGCACCCTACAAGGGGTTTGCTTCTTGGCTAGGAGATGCCAGTCTTATAGACAGGCAGTGACTGGCAGCTCCCAACCCACCGCAGAGGGGAAGGAGAACCACAGTGAAGGCAAGTTCGTGGCTAATGTAATGTTCATTACAGCCATGCAGTTTCAATACAGTTGTGCTCTTGTACTGCTGGATACAGGACAAGTGTTTCTTCTCTGCTAGCTCTGCACTGGTGTGTACAACAAGGTAAGAAGCAACTTTTCCAGCTGCCAAGTAGCAGCTTTACAAGCCGTACTCGCTCAACAATTTTCATCATCCATGCCCTGAGCCCAGAACTTCATTAATTGTCTTAGCACAAATATCAAAGTACAGAGATGGACTCAGCCTTCCAATGCTACATCCCTTTAATGCTCGTTGTCTTGTCAGTGCTCAAAGCATGCTGGTGGGACAATGTCTACTGTCACACGTGCAGCAGATGAGGGCTATGCTCTCCACTGAGCCACGAGCACACGAGTATCCCAAAGGGAAATGCTGGTGCCCTTTGGCTGAAGGGTTCTCCAGGCTTGCTCCAACCCACCCCGCCCTGCTCGAGGTTTTTTAGCCCCTGCCTCACCAACTGGTCTCCTTCATCTTCGTGGTACAAGAGAGGCTGCTTGAGAGGTCGGCGGATGTAGGTGTGTGTCGTCGTGCCCTGGAAATACGTGGCGGCAAACTTGGCAAATTTGTACTCTGAGAGATCTTCCTCCTCTTCCTCAGGGAGAGGCAATGCTGCATCCAGGTCCTCTTCCTCCAGCTCCTTCTGGGCTTGCTCAAGATCCTGGTGGGGAAGGACACGTCAGGCATTCAGCACGGCTTTGGATACTGAACTGCCTTTTCCTTTTGGGCCCAAGTTTTCTGTCTGTCTGATCTCTATCCCAAAAGGAAAAGCCAGCTGGAGCGAAAATCATTAAATATACCTCTGCAGCCCATGTAAAGCCCAAGTCCTGAAGGACATGCCTGTGCCCAGGAATGTCCCCAGAGCAGTAGGAGAAGCAACAAGCACAGCCCCACTCCTAGCATGGGGAAGGGGTGTCCAAGAGCTAAATGCCGTGAGCCGTGACGAACCACAAAGGAAAAGATCTCAAAGGCCACAGGTCCTCAACGATTTTTTAGTGATACTGCTCTCCTTCATCTGGCAGCCCCAGAGAAAGCCTGCAGAATGTCTGCCTGTCCCCAGCCACAGCATGGTAACCCTCTAGGGCCACACGGAAGACCCTGGTCTTGAGGGAAGCCTTCAGAGACCCACTTTTGTATTGCCATACTCCCCCCTGATTCATTAATATGTTGCTAAAGTCTTTCATGTGATAGCTAGGGTCATGTATGTCTTGAGTACCTCAAAGCCATTGGGTGCCTGTCCTTCCTGGCCAGGCAAGGAGGAGGTTGTCCCCAGAAATCCGAACATTTTGTCCACCATTTCTGAGTCGTTCACGGGCTCGTTGCGAGCTTTCTCCATTTTTTCTAAGAGCTCTTTCTTCCGACGTGCTTCCTCCTTCTCCTTTACTTCTCTCTCTGCATCTTCCCGTGCCAGCTGGGCCAGGCGTACCTGCAGGAGGACAAGTACAATGACTGAACTGCTCCTTCCAAAGAGCTGGCACTAAATTGTGCAGGGCCTGGCTTTAGAAAGGCAGACTGCCTGGTGCTCGAGGTGTTATACCAGCATTGTGACTTGGAGCAAACCAGTGACATGTCCCTGCCTGTTTCCTAACTGCAGAAGGACAAAGCAATAGCATTTGCTTCTTCCTTAGAGCCTGTTTAGAGGGTCTGGTCCATGCACAGAGATTCTCACTGACCTCAAGTTTTGCTTTTATACAGCAACCATGTATGTGCACACAAACACACAGTGTCCCAGTTCCCCCTGCAGCCTTTATACAATAAAAGCAAGTGAATAATAACTGTAATTAAAAAACTGTGCAGCAGATCAGAAATTCTGGAGCAGCTTCAAACTAGTTGGAGCACAGAGTACTTTAGTGAATTAAATACAAACCACTCAAGCAGGGCAGAAATCCCTTAGATATTTTTGGCATTCCCCCTCAAAGAAGCAAAACCAGTCCTTGGAAAAGAGAGACGAAGCCCCAGAAAAAGATCAATCCCTGCGTACTTGGTGCTTCTTTTCTGCTTCCTCTTTAGCTTTCTTGGCACTCATCTCCTTTCGGAGTCGTTCCTCTTCCGCCAGCCGAAGTTTCTCTGCTTCCAGGCGTCGGTGGTACTGGGGGAATAAACACAAGAGCCCTTCCGAATAGGCATCTACTTATTTTCTAAATTGCTTTTGCTCTTTAAAAACCAATCCCATGAGCACGTGATGCAGAAGCACATTTATTTCACCTCTCCCTACCTGTGTTTCTCACAACCGACCTCTCCTCCATGGTACTTACTTCTCCCCGGAGGCGCTTATACAGCCTTCGGGCGATCATGCCCCGGGCGTATGCCTGGACGGTGAGGACAGCCCAGAGGCGGTGGCGGAAAGCCCTACGGACCAGGTAGCCCCGGCATCGTGCCTGAAACTCGATGATCCGCCGGCGAGCCATGTGGTACTGCTTGTGGAGCTTGCGGGATCGGTAGAGGGCCTGCAGTCTCAGGAAGCCGATCCGCATCTGCAAAAGGGAGCAGGATGAAACCACCCCACCACCCAGGGGCTCACCCACCATAAGCAGATTTCCATCGCTAATCTTCCGTCACTAATCTCCTTCTTGCATGGCTGTAAATAAGAGCCACTGAAATCAGCCCCCACCAGGACAAGCCTTCAGGAGGGAGGTTCTCCAAAAGGGGGGAGAAATTAAGCCCTCTGGCTGCTGTACTGGTTCAAAGCCCAGGAAGGACAAAGGCAGTTTCTTCCCCACTGAGTCCTACAGAGTATCTGCCCTTGAGAGGCCTCAGGATGTCTGGCTGGTAATCTTAAGGTAGCCACAAGTCATGAGAGTTGCTCCCATGGCGGTCCAGCATCTGTAGACCTCCTGCCTGAAAGACAAGATGCTGTTTCAAGGCAGGAGGCAGCACACTGACCAGCCTGGAAGTGGCTATTCCTATCAAGTTGAAGGCTTGGAAAATGACATTGAGACACTTTAGATCCCAACACACTTCCCAAATGACACAGTGATGAGTGAGAGCCAGCTGGGCCAGGGAGAGAAGGCGGCCATGGACTATATTTGGGAGACACCCAGATACAGTCCCATCTGGGTATGGAGTCTGTTTTTTTCAGAGAAAACTGCTCTTGAGTTTTCAGTCACCTGGAAACTATCGGAAGACTTTTAAAACCCCAAGTGACCAGTTGGTGCAATGGACATCTAACTCACAGGGACAATGACAGCTAGAAGGTGGTCAGGTGCTCTCTTCAATGAGAAGGCAAAGCAGCAAGAGCAAACCTTCATTCATCACCTCAACTGATAAAAGTCAACCCCACCCCCTTCTACACTCAGTGGGGCATTTTGAGCCAGGGAACTCTTATGTATGTCCCAGATGAAAGAGGTAGGAAGGCAGAGGTGTGAGGAAGCACCCCTGTACTTACAGCACCGTAGTTCTTCCTGCAGTTATGTCCACGCCAGTACCTCTGAATCATCAGGACTGAATTTCTCACTTTCAGGAAATTGGACCTGCAAAGGCATTTCAATCACTTGCCTCTGCAGTTTGGCCGCAAGTTATCACCATTTCCTGGGCCTCATTCTTTAGGGATTTGAAACTGAGCAGCCAGGTGGAGTAAACACTGCATTTTTGGCCTGAAAAAGTCTCCTCCATCAGCTTTCTTTGCTTTCATAAAAACATCTGTAGGGCCTCTCTCTTGACAGGTCTCTGCAAGCAGATCCTGCCAGGTTATGGGAATGGGTGGAACTGAGAATGGTCCTCTCCTTCCTCCCGCCCTGCACCCTCCTTTCCCATCTGAAATCTCTTCCCTGCCTGCTCTCCCCACTTCAATCCTAGCACCTGAGAATGGATTCAATCTCACTCCAATGATCAAGGGTGAACTTCAACAACACCACCCTGCTGCTCCCATCTGTTCCTCCCATCCTTCTTAGCCTGGACTGACTCTACCTGTAGACACCTTGGAGAGAATTATGTTGGAAGGGCTTGGGAGTCTTGCTAGGATTACTGTGGGAAAGATTGCAGAGTGTTTAGCATGTGCCCTTTCTGCAAGGCCTAAGGCTCAACCTCAGATATAGCCACGGCTTGGACAGTCAAATAGCACAAAGTCCCAGGAATTGTCCCTCCTCCATGAGGTGAAGCTTGTCCTTGGCTGTGGCTCCCCCTCTTCTTTCACAACTGTGCCATGAACTCCCCATGGGCTACCTGCCCTCCTCCTGAGTCTGGCAACTGGGTTGCAAAGGGAAGGGTCCTGAACCCCTTGGGCTTTGGGGAGAGCAACATTAGTCACAGTGGATGACCTAGTGGTCCCATTGCAGTCTTGTGAGGATCCCCATAGACTGGAGGCTTAGTGTTGCCTTCAGCAAGCTGAGTCTCACTGCTGCATTGTCAGAGCAAACATCATCTCCCCTGACGACAGCACTGAATGGTGACAGAAGGTCCTGTTCTGTCCATGCTTGAGGCAGATAACACAGTTTTCCTCTTGTTTCCTCTACTGTTTTCCTCCAATACTTTCTGCACTTGAGTGCAAACACATTGGTGTTCCCCTCTCCCCAGCTGCAGGCACGGCAGGTCAGATGGGCACTGAGAGAACAGCGCATCCCCCAGGAGGTGCTTGCTGGGTGAAGCATCCCACATAGCCTACCTCCCACTTGGCAGTAGGGCTCACACCTACCTGTCTTTAAACCCACGGACCACCTTCTGGATGAGGATGACTTTGTCTGTGATGGCCTTGTCTCTCTCGATCTCCAGCAGCATGTCGTGGTGGTCCTGTGGAACGAAGTGACACAGCACCCATATCTCAAGCTTTCCATCTGCCTGGCATGTGGCAGGAGGGGTGGTAAGAGGCCTTTCCCCAGAGATGTCCAAAATAAACTCTTGGGTTATTTTACATCCCAAGTATCACCCTACTTACTCACCGGGGAAATCCTAACATAAACCCTAGTGATCTACTGCCTTCATTCCCAGATGAACCAGAGCATCCAGAAGCTGCGTATGCAATCGTTTATAGTCTGAAAACAACCAAATTACGTTGCCCTTCAATGCAGAGCTCCCTGCTAGTGCTGTCAGCCATGGAAGCAGTTCCTGAGAGCACTGAAGCAGTTTGAGAACAAACTCCGGGCTGCCTGAGTCCCATCACTCCCTCTAGTCAAGGCTACAATGCCTCCGTACCCTAAGGACAAAACAGCTCCCCAAAAAACTGAATTTCTTTGCCCTGAGGCATCCAGATGCACCAGTCCAAGCTTTCTATTGATTCCTCCCACACTGTTTGCAACTCTGCTTTCTTTCCTGGTTTCAGCATGCTGACCCCTGCCATGCTGGGTGCAGCAGAGGCAGCTCCACATGTTTCCTGCTTTGCTTGACCTCACGTGGCCCCTCGAGGCCTCCCAGTTTCTCCATTTCCTGCCCTGACAGCTGCGAGATCTTGATAACAGGCTCTGGAAAGAGCGGCTAGTGGGAACAGCTTCTAGGGAAGAGATGGGGGTGTTGGTGCTGGCGATAAGGTTGGGGGTGAATTTAGACATAAGCGGTCAGAGTTTACTGCTGAGATTTTTGCTCAAGAGAAGCTTTTGCTTCCAGCCTGGTTCCTGGCCACCTCTGCCTCATCTTCCCAGAGCAACACAAGGATGTGTTTGTAAGGAGATGAGAGTAAGCGGGGCTGCAGGGGACCTGCAACGTTGGGCTGCTCTGTGTCAGCTGGACTGATGCAGAAATGGAGGCTGTAGCCATGTCTTGGGTTGTGCAAGGACATGCTGAAAGCAAAGGAAGCCTGTTGTGCTCTCGGTCCCTCTCTCTGCAGGGCTCTGCATGGACATCCCTCCTGCTGCTATGCTTTTCAGGTGAAGGTAGGAGATGAGGTTGAGTGGCTCAGCCCAGAAGGTAAGAGGCCGTGTGCTGTATGTGACTATTTCTGTGTCTGTATGGATATGTGCATGCGTCGGTGCTGGCAGTGTTAGGACTTCCTCCAGCCAACTGCTTCCTAAATGAGCCCCAAATATCCCGTCTTGGCCCAGGTCCTACCCACTGTCACCCCAGCCCAAAGACCACGGGAAAGGGTCGAGTCTTGTGATGGATTGGAAATGGTAGGAGACCCCTTTACAGGCAAGGGTCCCAGAGGGCAGAGGGGATGTGGAGAACCACCTACTTTCAGGAATATCTTTGTCTTGCCGATCTGCCAGTCATCATCCTTCCCGAGCACTGCTTCAGCAATGCGCTGGCATGTCCCACGCAGGTCACCCTGGTAGGACAGGGAGTGGGATTCACCAGGACCAGCCTCATCCATCGCTCCTCCCAAGCCCAGCAGGGACCTTTTCTGGTCCCAGTTCCAGTAGTTGTCTGCTAATGAGATTCCCAAGGCTTTACCATCACCATATTTAAGGTGAGTGAGAGGGCCAGGCTGAATATGACTACCTGTCCCTGCCAGCCTCATAACCATTTTTCCTTCACTTGGAAAGCCCGGAGCACCACTGTAACATCTGGGGATCGAATGTTGCATAATTGCTCTTGGAGAGGATGGACACCCCATAAATATCTCTGGAGACCCCAACAGAGAGCAATTGTTACCTGTGGAAGAAGATGCTCACCTGCTTGTATGCTGGCTTCACCCCTGGCATGAGCACCCGGTACCGGTCCACGAACTCCACAAACGTGTAGCGGATGGGGTAGCCGGCTCGGCGGATCCGGATGGTCTCCATCATCCCTGAGTACCTCAGCTGACGGACGCACAGCTCCCGGTCAAACAGCTGGGGAGGTTACAAGACACCGTGTTTTGATTGCACATCTTGGCCTGCATTGGCCATAAAAGAGTGGAGACTCTGAAGATATGCAGGGCGAGCAAGTCAGGCATCCACCCAAATCCTTCACTTGGTGGACCCAAGTCCGTAGGACTGTTGGCTGTCATGGGCCTGATCCTATGACTCACTCCATTTCTTTAACTCCCGCTTGCAAGGCTGGATGTGTCCTACCTATTGCACAAAGGACTGAGAGAAGAACTGGAGAACACAATGCAATGGTGAACATCACCTTGGGAAAACAGGCAGCGATGATGCATCTACAAGGGTCAAACCATTCAGTCGCCCTCACAATGACCACTCATGGTCATTAACTTCCGACTGCTGCTCTGAGCTTTATGGCATGATCACAGCACTCCTGTACGGGCAGGGCAGTACCATTTTGCAATCAGAGGAAGCAGAGGACCACATCAGCAAAGGCTCAGACACTCAAAAGACTTAGGGTGACTACACTAGTTGATGTGAGGGTAGGTAACAACCTGAAGACAAAGGAAGAATGCAGCCTTGGCGATGCTGAGGCCCTGAGATAAACCTGTTACCATCAAACCACCCTCTACCCAGGAGGACATCTGAGGAGCTTACAATTAACAGGTCAGAACTGAGACCAGCTGAAGGTTTTAGGGAAAAGACCAGCATTTGTGGCTGCTTCTGGCAAGCAATGGACAGTTTGAAGGCCAGACAGCAGACGTAGGTAACCCAGTCATTGCAAATGTTTGCTAATGAACCTGGCTGCTCTCCCTTGCTTCGGGGGCCTCAGGGTGGATAATGAGTGGTGCTGCTAGATGGGCAGATCTGCTGAAGCAAAGGGAGTCTCAGGAAAATCCCTGCCACACTTTAGTGCATTAAGAAGGATCCTGGAGCCCCTGAGAGCACCCTCTTGCAGCCTGATGTTGTCTGCTGGGAGCATTCAAAAAGCGTTCAACCCAAGTGTAAAATAAAGGCAGACGTGGTGTGGTGCTGGCAGAAAGTCGGGACAGTAAATCCCAGCCTGGACCAAAGAGTTACACCAGGGTGTTATTCATCTGCCTTCCCTTCAGCTGTCTAAAACGTGCACGTACAGCTATGAAAGTCACCTAGGCTCTCCCTGAAGTGAGTGAGGAGAGATAGGTACGTGCCTGAACCTCAGGTATCCGTGTATCTCAGATGCGTCTCCTGGGATAGGAGGATCTGCCCTATGGATGCACCCATCTCCCCATCACTGGAGGGAGATTTTTGACTATCTCCTAGCAGCCGCTTAACCATGAAAGGGCTGGAGTGAAGTGAGATGGATCCTGACCCCAGGAGAAGACAACAGATGAGCAAGGAAAAGGTAGAAAGTGGAATCATCCAGATTTGGTCTCAAGCCATCCCTATCTAAAATGGGTACGGGGGACAAGAAAGGTGCAGAGGAAAAAGGTGTGGGTTCCTCTGTCCCCCCGTGTGTCACGAAGCAGAATGGTATATGAGGGGTTGTGGGCTTGCCATTAACCCTCCAATGTTTGTAGGGCTAGTTCATTGCATATATGGGCAACTATGCTCTCCTGGCATCAGGGCCTGATGAGGCTCAGACTGCTGGAGACAGTTTTGGCTTTCTTTGCGTGGTTTGTTACCTCATTCATCCCATCCGTTTCTCTTGGACTAACCAGAACAACAGAGCAATGCTCAGAAACAGCAGCATGGGACAACGTACAGACCCAGAGAATTCCAGCCAGCACCCTGATGCAAACAACTTCTCCCCCCCACACCCCAAAGCACATTTTAGAAGGAAGCAAAAGTTTTAAAATAACATTAACAAAAAGTCATGGCTTTCCACTGACCTTTCACTTCCCACTATCCTGTTTCCTATCACTATCAGTACACTTTCCTTCAAAGCCAGGGACAGAAAATGAACTCCCAGAAAATGTTCTCTTTTTCAGTCACCCTGCACAGCTCTGTGTACCATTATCTGGGATATTTTTTTTCCTTTGTATTATTAAACCAAACCCAAAAATTAATTTAGCAAGAAATCACATTTCATATCATACAGCACTACAGTCTGTGATTCAGTGTTAGCTCATCCACTCATTATTTCAACGGGGAGATGAATTTCTCATTGTCAGATTCTTTCAAACTTGTAGCTGTTTTTAAATTCAACTGAAAGTTTTGTAGATAAATGGGTTGGACAAAGACTTCTGGCTTAGTACTTGCAAGAGCTGATGAAATACAGACTTCCTATGCAGGACGCAAAATGTCAGATCGAATCCCAGACATCCAAGTATAAAAGCAGCTCAAAGTCAGGGTGTTGTGAATAATTTATTAACATCAGTTCAGGATGCACATCTATTCGTCAACTTCACCCATGTTCTTAAAAAAGGTCTTGTTTTGATCTCAGCTTAGATGATAATCTCAGATCAGACATATCATCAAATATTAACCCAAAGCATTCCACTGACATGCCTTTTTATGCTCACCAAAACCAGGATAAGGGCATAGTAAACTGCTTTGAGAGAGCCGCCAAACCTTTCACCCTGCATCACATTAGGTTCGCTGAACAGCAAAAAGTAAGTTTCAACCAAACACTGCTTGTACATAACAGCTCTAAAATTCAGTATTTTATAGTTTTTTTGCACTCAGTTGAGCTTTTCTAACAGATACTGACTTTATATAAAGCTCCAGCTCTGGGTAGATTAACTGCTACTGAAGTGCAAAGGCATGGGCAAAACGATTCAAGTAGCTGAAATGATTATTAAATAAAGCTCTTCCTCCCCAAGCAGTATCACAATTAAGAGTGGTGAGCAGCTGACAGTGATTGATGACAGCACCAGGGTCCAGTCCTGCAAGGAGCTGACAGTGGGACTGGGGAGTTCAGCACCGACTTTATTGCTGCAAAACTCGGAGTCGCCTCTGTGAGCAGTTTGTGGCCAGGGGGATTTACAGCCATCTCCTTCCCTTTTGTTTGTTCCTTTTGAAGCAACTCTCTGGGAATCAAACCAAAATAATTCCTCTCACCTTTCCTCTGTGCTACCTTGCCTCTTTATTTTTTTTTTTCTCTGCTTTTGGAATAGTGCTTTTGCCATTGGTGTGAAATACCAGCAGCTGAAAGGATCAAACAGGGGTGAAACCGAGTGATATCCCTTGGGAGCAAAGATTTTGTAGAAAACAACCATGGGAAAGGGAATCACTTTTAGGAAACATTGAACGCTGCCATAGGACTAAACCCAGGGCCCTACAGCTCAGCCTAAGTCTCTGGTAGGGAGGCACCTACCCACTATGGAAATTCAGAGGCATTTCCTATAGGGGAAAGGGCTGCGGCGTGAATTCCTCGAGGTCATCCTGGGAGGAAAGGCAGGGGCAGGAGCTCCCCCCTGCAAAAAGTTTTGGGGTGCTGTTGGATTGCAAAGCAAGTACCTGATTTTGCCAACACTTTGGTGACTCCCTTGCTTGCAGAACAGGCTGCGGGTTGGTTTTCTAAGCACCCAGCGTCAATCCTGACTCCACTGATGCCCGAAGGAATTTTGCCATTACCCCAGGGCAGAGTGACCCTGCGGGCAGTCCTGTACGAAAAGCAACCAGGAGAGAAAAGCAGGACTTACCATGGGCTTCTTGTACTCATTGGGCTTGATGCAGCGGACAAAAAAGGGCTGGCACACGCTGAGAGTCCTCATCAACAGCTCCAGGGACCGCTTGAACTGGCTGCTGAGCGTCGGTGAGCGCTTCCTCGTCTCTGCTCCCTGCAAAACCGCAGCAGAACGGGCTCAGGAAATGAAATGATAACAGAGCCTTTCCCCTCTGGCTGCGTCCCTGGGAACCTCCTGTGACAGCCAGGGCCGGTGGAGGGAGCAGGGCCAGAGATGGTTGAGCGTTGCGGCAGGAGAGGGGCAGGGCACAGCCGGAGAGCTTGCAATGTCCAGACTCTGGAAATATCTGCTCCATACGCCTCTACCAAGCGAGGAAAAGTGCCATAATTTAATTTCTCCTGCTCAAACCTCTCTGTGTGACCGGTAATCCCATCTGCCTTATGCAGAGCCACAAGTAAGATCTGCCCATGAGAGCAAACAGCCCCTTCTGGGCCATCAAAAATCTTTGTATTGCAGCTTGGGGCGATGCGTCTGCCCAGGGATGCTCCTTGGGAATGGCTTGGGGTTCCCTCTCCCCATGCATTGCAACATGGTCATGACAACCCCTCTGTTGTAGTTCCTTGTGTCAGGCTAAGCCCCTCCTGCTCCCTGGGGGGTAGGATCAGAGACCCATGTAGTGTGAAAAACAAGCCAGGGGCACTTTTGCTTCAGGGTGACTCTGCAACATCTCCAGAAACTTCTGATAAAGTTCTGGTAAGCTTCCTCAGCCTGTACTACAGGGAAGATTAGAGTTGTGTTTGGAAAAGAATATTAACTAGGCTGAATGAGGTGGGTATTTAGGGTGAATCAGGACGATTTTGAGTATTTTGCTTGGTTTAGCTCCCTTGGTAAAATTAAAAATCTAATTGGCTAAATTAACAATCCAATCTCCATTTGGGGGTAAGTGTTTCTAAAGCAGAATGGAGATATTTCCCTTAATAGCCCCTTCTCCTGCCCTGGGAGAACCTTGTTAAACCACCTTCAAACTAAATGAAGCCCCTAGCTCATTGTGTATGTCAGTCGCTTCTACCTGAGCTCATTAGATATCAGTCATAGTGGTGCTGCTGTCTCGTAGGGTTTGCTGTTCAGGGAGCCTTTGTGGGGCAACAGGTACTGCTGAGGGGCTGGAGGAAAAGTTGGGCACCAGGACGTAACTCCCTTAGAATAAAAAATAGGGCAAAGTGTGACATGAGTAGTGACATGATCTAATGGCCAGGGATTTTCCAAAGGGAGGATTCCAGCAGGATTTTAATGCATTTTCTCTCCAAACATTCTCTTTTTTTGCAGGTGTTCAAGCCATACATGGAGTCACAAAGCCCTTGGCCTTGCTGCTACGTTTCTTAAGGTGGTGATTTTTATTTCTACTTTTGCTAAGATCTTTATGTGCACTTCATTGTATAGCACTAATAACCTGTTAGATAACATTCCCACCCCCCCAAAATGGAGAAATTGCATAGAATGACAGAACAGCTTAGGTTGGAAGTGACTACAAATATCATCTAGTCCAAACCCCTTGCCATGGGCAGGGAATATGCACAGCTCAGGTTGCGTATGATGTTGAGACAAATCCAGTCAACACAAACACAAAGTCATCGTGGAATTTCAATAAGAGAAAACCCAGCTCATGCACACACCAGAAAAACCTGGCCTGCTTGTCAAGAAGAGCATGGGGGGTCACCATGATCTCTCCCAGTAAAATCCTTCCCCGAAGGACAAACTGTTAACAAATCTAGAGTAATTTATGGATGCAGCTGCTCCTGCAGAGCACTGTAGAGTCCGGGGCTCACATTCTGTCACACATTTGATGAGGAATAGGCTGTTTCAGCAAGAATCCTGGTTTGTAAAGCTTTGATTAATGTTTTCTTACCACGTTGCTAACTATGTGCAATGGGGTCACCTCTGTGAATTGTGAAAGCCACAGGGGTGGCAACAGATGCAGGAGCAGGGCTGGAAGTTGGAAGCAACTTCCATGTTAGCCAGGTTTGTCAATTTGGGCTTGGCTGGGAGAGGTCATTTTTTGAGCTGTGGTAGTAAGGTGTGCAAGACCTTACTTGCACGCTTGTGTGTAAGTAAGGTGTGCAAGTACAAGTAGTAAGGGTGCAAGACTTTGTACAAGGGTCTACAAGGGAATGCACGAGTGGTTTGCTCTCAGACAGCAAGACCTGCCTCTCTAGGTTGCTGGTGCATTGCATTTCTTCCTTGCACACATCCAGCTCTGGTGAAAAGCAGTGGTGCTATCTCCATCCTTACACCTGAGAGCTTTTTGCTGGGAGGGGCTGGAGGGAAGAGACAGTGGCCAGAAAGCAGCTTGTCTTCCTATCCAAATTGTCAGGGTCTGGGCTCCACCTGTCAAGACTACACCATCCCATCCATTCACATGCTTCCTGGGCCTGGCATTTGTGCACAGACTCGTCTCAGTGGTGGGCACCAGCCACAGGGGCACGAACCAGGCTCAGCTACACAACAAAACCTCAGGGGGAGTGCTTTGCATCAGCCTCCTCCTGCAGGGACAGGGTGACACCACTGGAGTCATCGTGGTTCCTCCCACCTCACCTCAACCCCAGTGTCGGCAGAATCACATCTCTTCCCTTATTCCAACAAAACAGATCCAAAAAATTGAATGGAGCAGCCTGCCAACACGGTCTAGCAAGGCACTGAAAATACAGGTTTTACTGCAGAGGAGGAGCGTTTTTTAGCCTAAAACAGACCCAGTCCCCATAGCCTGAAGCAGAAAGAGCTGAACACATTCATCTTTTCTCCTGGCCAGACATGTCTTAGCTTTCAGACTCTGAGACTGTAGCATCTTTGGGACACAGACTATCTCTTCACTGGTGTCCACACAGAGTCTAGCACACAGGAGGATGTGACCTGGGGTGTGTCATGGGGAAGGATGAGCGTGATTCACAGGTGCTGTAGCCCAGACTGGGGCACTGAGTAATCGCTCAGCCCATGCTCAGCCTCAAAGGGAAAAAAAGGCAGAAGAAAAAGAATAAGAAAAATCAAAGAATTACATGATTTAGAGAGAGAAGTACCATCTCAGAAGAGAAGTTCAGAAAGATGTGCAGACCAGCATGACATTCAGACATGCTTCAATGCTACTTCTTTCTGCCATCTCAAACCAGCCTGAACTTTAGAAGCACAGACACATGTGTGGCTGTTTGCAGTAATATAAAGACAAAAGTCAAGGCAGAATATCATCAGCACGACACACGAGGACATTCCCCCAGCACAGGGTGTCTGAGATCCCCGGTGGCACAGCTGGAGCATTAGGCTATTTCCCAGCACCTCTGTGAAGCTGTAAAATCTCTAGGAACCTATTCAGACTCCTTCCTTTGGTGTCTTGGACACCTTTAGGTACTTATCATGTGTCCAGGGCTGAGAAAGCAATAACTGGTTCATCCTATCTGCACCCTGTGGGTTCAGTGGGTTAAGGTGGACACAAAGTTAGGTTAAGTAGGATGGTCTTAATACAGACCCAGAGTTACAGCCAGGGCAATCACCAGGTTTTTTTCTTGGTAACATTCAAACTAAGTAAACAGAAGCAAAGAGAAAACCAAGTACAAGGAGAAAAGTCACTGAGCCAGAAATGGTGGGAGTTACTCCTGCTATCCCTCTGCACATTCTCCTCCTCCCACTTCAAGGAGAAGGTTGCATGGTGCACCAGGATGGCCATGCCCACACTAGGTCTGCAGGGGAGATGGTGACCTGCTTCGGTGGAAATGCAGAAAGATTAATTACTTGAGGTGAGTTAGCAAATGAGAGAAGCACGTACCACCAGCAACACTTTGAGAAAAGGTTCTGGACAAAGGACCATCCTCCCATCTCTTTAGGATAAGCAGGTCACTAAACTAGGCCAACATGACATGCTGTTTATCAGCCTTTTTTCTGAAGTCTGAGAAAAATTATGCTTTTTTTTCATTATTTTGGTACATGAAATCTCCGACATGCTGTTTATCAGCCTTTTTTATGAAGTCTGAGAAAAATTATGCTTTTTTTTTCATTATTTTGGTACATGAAATCTCGCTGGGGTGGCCTCAGGTGACCACTCAAAGTTGAGGCCCCCTCACAGCAGGTTCTGCAGTGACATATAGTGAAAAGACAGCCTCTCTCCTAAAGGCTGTGCAGTCTGGAAAGTGCTTTAGATGCAGAGTTGACATGGGCTACATGACAGAGCCAAGCATCACTGTTTTGAACTACGCGCCCATTTTATAAAACGTACTGATGTTGATACATCTGGAAAATCTTTTTTGGCTTGGCTCTTCCACCCTTACCTCACTGCCTAACAAATACAATCAATTATTATTCATTAGAAAATCTACAGAACACGAAACTATATTATAAGAACTCTGATAACAGAAAACAGTGTCATGTCTCCCATTTCCCTGTATTCCCTGTTGTTGCCTTCAGAGGAGTGGCCTGAGCATTTCTGATAGATTTTGCACAACAACTCTCTCCTGGACTTAATCCCACCATATCCTCACTCAGGAATGAGTATTTTTTGGTGTGTGGCATTGCTACAACTCTAGAGCAGGGCCCAATGAGATGTGCAATCCAAAGAGTTTGCAGTCATGATACAGAGGGGAAGGAGTCCAGCTCTGGAATGAATAGCTTTGGGTCATTTTGGGTCAGATCCCCATCATTGGAATTCCAAGTCCAAACATCTGAGACACTGCAGAGGTAAGAAGGGTTGAAATTCAGCCCCATGCAAGGATCTGAATTTTGAGTCAGGTCTATCTCCATCATAATCCTCTGGCTATTGAAAGATTGTCATGGAAATGTGAGCAGAGTCACAAAACTGACATCACAAAACCTTTAGCACACAGTATGCTACCCTATGGCCAAATATCTAGCAAGAAAGGTCTGGGAAACCATCAGAATCAGTCAGGAGATGAGATGCAACAGAAAAGACCTGAAAAAGGTTCCAAGAGCTTGTTTTGGTGATCATTTGAAGTTCAACATTAACTGTGTCTTCGAAGGTCTGGCTTTGAGCTCTCCCCTGAACAAGAACTAACCCCCCACAAGACTGATGGCCTTTCCAAGCAATCCAGAAATGCAATCCAGGAGTCCCTCTTCACACATGAACTGCCAGCTTCCTGCCCCGAAAAGGCAAATCAGGGCCAGATTTGCAGTTGTATGGACGAATAATGTCCCACAGAAGCCACTGGTGGCACCATTATAAACAGCCAAATCCCACAGATGATCCATCTGAAGTTAATTAAAACGATCCAAAAATCAGAAAAAAATCTGCAAAACTTTGGCTCTGGCTGGTTCTGATTTTATCCAAACCGAATTCCCATCAAGGCAAAGCTTTTCTGAGCTGAGTCCGAGAAATAAATGACACAGTCATACACCTGTATCTATTCAACAAGCTGTAAAAATGCTCTCCATCACATTGGTCACTTGAAATGGATCCTCTATGGTTAGTGCAGGAAGAGGAATTAACTGACAAGAGCAAATCACAGTCCTTGCCAAGGAGAGGTGAATATGCAACAGAGGAACTCATGTATTCAGTTTACCTTTGGCGTGGGTGTGGGTGACTGGCCAAATGTGCTGGATGCATAGCCACAGAGAAACTACACGAAGCGCAGGTGAAAAAAAAACACAGAGACAGAGAAGAGAAAATAGTGAAAAGAAGGAATAACCGAAATGGAAGCCTGACATTGTTAGTCTTGGAGGTCCAGCTGTTAAAATATCTCACAAACAAAATGCATTGATTCTTAGATTTTTGTCTATCCCCCTCCTGGCTTTTCCCCTTCGTCTGCATGTTCACATCCTTGAAGCTGAGGGAACTGTCACTGTCCAGCTCTTGCCTCTTGAAAATAGCCCTTCTCCATCTTTTAACCTCACTTATTATCCATACAATTTCAGCCATCCCCACTCCTCTCCCTCACACGTAACTGCTCTTCTGTGACGAGTGCTCTCAATACACAGTGGTTGGGAAGATGCCAGGGAAAAACTAAATTTTCACAAAAATTCTAAAGAAATCCCTCCCTTCCTCCCTAATTTCAATCCAACAAATCATATATTTTCTATAGAATTGAAGTTTTTGCCAAGGGGAAAGCCTCCAAATTTCCTATTCGTTTTTCCCTTCACTGGTTTCCATCCTCCGCTGCTCCTTCTACCTGTTCCTTAAGCAACCAGTGCTGTCAGACCATACTGGCTCATTCCTCAGAGAAACGGTGTACGGTTCCCACTGAATTCATCATTTCACCTGGCACCGCTCAAAGCAATGTTCCAATTCAGCAAACACGTGCAGATAGACCTCCTCCGTGATGGGCCTGCGTAAATCAGGCTTCACAGCCCCGTGTGCTCCAGTAATACCCAGTTCACCACGCAGGTTTCATTGGCACAAATATCATGCCTTTCAGGGACCAAACAGTTACTACAATATTCAAATATACACTCGTGATGAGTTTTCAAACTTCTCTGAACTGTGGCTTCCTCAGGTTTCTGGCATATAAGGATCTTGTTTGAAAGACTGAATGTAAAGCAGATATGGGTGTGCTTTTCACTGACACACAAAATCCTACAAACTCATCAATAAGCTCCTGAGAACCAAAGGTTGGAAGCTGTTGAGCAAAATGCCACATTATTTGATCTAGCCCTTAGCAGAGTAGCCACTTGCCTCTTTTTAAAGGAAGATGTTAGATTTGGTTGACCTGGCCTGAGTGTCTCTGGAAAGTTTCTCCATGGATTGTCTCACTGATGCTTGGGGAAGGCACGCACACTTCCAAGGGGAGCCTTTGCCCCAGCTCTTTGCTGTATGCAGTCAATTCCCATGACCCGTGCTCACCCGCTCCTTCTTTCAGGCAATGTGTTTTAAGAAAGAGGTTGCAAAGATTATTGAATTTCGGTGGAAAGCAATGGCAAAATCATCTCAGCCCCATGTTGGATCCTGCTTGTCTGAGCAGTTTTGTTTGCGTACTGTTTAGGGCATTTGTGCTTTCCCAGTTCACACTTATGTTGTGCCCGATTAGGGGAGCTGGTACATAATCTTTGCTCCTCTTCCAGTTCCGTGCCAGTCAGGATACAAATCTCTCATTGAAAAAAGAAAAGCAAAGATCATTAAAGTATCAAAGCACAGGGCCCACCACTCAGAGCAGATTCTGAAGATGTTTAATGGAACTATAAATAAAAGTTTTATTTCAAAAAAAGTGCTCTGATGCTTTAAAAGGTCTCAGTTCTAAGGTCCTAGACAATGCCCAGGTGAAAAATCTCAGTTTTGAAGTCATACTTCCAGGTTCTTTCAAAGATGCTTGGTAGTTGCCTCCGTGAGAAGTCTGCGTGACTGTGTAAACCTGAGAGCTCCCTCTCGATTCCCCAGAGTGCACCTCTGCTCTGCTCAAACAAGCAAGACATCGTTTCCAGGGTGAACTACAAAGCTTGCACTGAAAATAAAAAGCAGCGAGCAATAAAAAGCAAAGTAAATGGCAGCACTGATGCTAAGGGAGTTAGCGCCTAGTTCAGCGGGAGTATCCACATCTGGGGATAGCTCTCAACCCACCGGGAGTGTCATGCCAATTGGAGGCTTAATTGGGGCTGATAAATATTATCTTGTTCCTAATGAAGTTGAAAGGATACTGATTATTTATTCAGGAGCAAAACTGAGTGACTGAAGGTTGTGAACAGGCTTGCAAACGTGTCTGTAGCCTAGTTAAAGAAATTTCTTGGGAATTTAAACATTTGTTTCCCTTAGTAGGCAAAGGAATTCAGCACCTGTATTTGTTTGGCACTCCTGAAAGTCCCTAAGTCCCTTGGGCCATCAGTGGCACTGGCTGGCATTTGGAAACAGGATCCGGACTGCTAAAAAACTTGGTTGCTTTGGAAAATGTCATCCCCACACCCTATGCAGTCCCATGGCTTTGCCTAGGGAGACTTGGGATTTGGCCATAGTGACCAATCTGTGTAGATTTTCAGGTTCTGCAAGGCTGATCTTTTGAAAGACTTTCTACTTTCATTTTGGGAGCAGGGCTGATGATGTCTTAGTAGGGAGACGTAGATGTTCAACTTACGCAAGAAAACATCATATATATGTGTTATTAATGGTGAAATAGTTACTAATCTCAGCATTTAAGCTAGTAACCTAGTAATAAATACTTGAAAGCGGTGGGAAGAGTTAAAGCAATAAGTGTGCCTTTCCCCAAAGCTTCAGCGCACGTGGTCTTCCCCTGCACTGAGCACAGAGTAAGCACATACCCTTCTGGACGACTGGGATGTGGAAAGGGGAGCTTTAAAGTTCAGCTTTAATAACTGCTGTCCCCTCTTGCTGCTGTCCTAACAGTAAAACATGACTGTTGGCTGGTCCCTCCCAGTTCTCCCGCAGTGCTTAAGGGCCAGACGGATTGTCCTTCGTTCTGCTCTGCTCTACAAGGATTTGATTTTCACTTGTTACTCTATTATACACAGATCTGGACTGCTGAGTTGGAGGGGCTAGCTCTTTCTCTCTCAGATTTCTACAATCACAAACCTTATTGTTCCCATCCCTACACAATTAGGAGAGGAGCAATCAAAGCACGAAAAAAATACTTGACGAACTGAATGCAGCAAACTGGGGGCGTGAGTGTGGAGGTAACACCTGACAGCGCACTAACACTTTCTGATGGTTGGCTCACACTAACAGGTTTGAAACACCCCAAATAGAATCTGAGCAATATGACTCTTTGCAAATCTTCTGCCCCTTCCAGGAACATCCCCCATGAATAAAGGTCTTCCCCCGCCTGCATTACCATCGCCACGTCTGCTTGGAAGATCTGCTTGATGAATTTGTTTTTTGAGGAATGCACCAGCTGAATGATGTCTCCATGCAGCGTGTCCCTGTTTTTCTCCAAGAAACCTAGAGGAATAATGGGACAACACATAGATAGGTGACACAGTGCAACAAGGCCAGCGTGTGCCCTGCAAGCAGCCTCTGGGTTGCTGGACTACTGTCTGCTCTTGGGGAAGTAATGGGGGTAATGAATGGGCAGAGAAAGGGGGGCCAAGAGAAGGAAGACAGAGGCGCATCTGGAGACTGGGTCAAAGATTCATGTGATGCAAAGCGTTGCAATTCTCTCATGGGCACAAGCAAATGAAATAGCACCAAACTCCGCAGCTCACGGGCACTGCTGAAGGGTCAAGTCATTGCAGCCAGAAAAGGAGTACATTGACACCGCTATGGGCTACCATCCTGCTCTGCTCACCTTCCCCAAGCACCCCCTCCCACCCAGGAGCTGCCCCATACCTTTTGTTTCATAGTAAACGATTCCAGCAAAGTGGTTAATGCCAAACTGTGTTTCATAGTTATTCTTCGGAGGAATGTAGTTGGTGTTAAGCTTGTGCTGGGAGTTCAGCTTGTGTAACATGGTGGCATCTGTACCCTGTGTATGCAGAAAAAGATTTGACATTTAACCAGGGTTTGTCCCGTCAAAATAATTTTCTGATCAATAACGCCTTTTTTTTTTGTCTTGGGTGACAACATGTATTTGTTTTGAGATGTGTTGGAGAGGATTTCTCAAGTGCAGCAATTAAAGAAATTGATTAAATATCACTGGTATGTTGTGCTGTATTCAAGACAGTGCTCCAAAGGGAGTATGTTTAACATTATTTTCTCTTAAACCTTTCCATAGCCTCTTCTTGAGCCTCTTGCAGGCATATTCTTCCATCAGAAATACTAACTTATTTTAAGCATGGTTGTGGTACTCACAGAAGAAAGTGTGACAGAGCAATAAAAACTGTGACTAGGCAACCCACTGGTGAATGTATGTTTGGGGCTGATCAGACCTCTCACAGGGTGCCAGCATGCAAGTGCAAAGGGCGTAAAAACAGGAGAGTCATTGGCAGCAGGGGTGAGCCCAAAACACACCTTGGGGAACTTGCTCTCCTCATCAATGAGGGAGATGATGTTCATGGGCTTGATGGCAATCATGTCCAAGGCATCCTGGTTATCAGTGAACTCAATGTGCTGCCAGTTGATGTTCTCCAGGTTGTACTCCTCCTGCTCTAGTTTGAAGACATGGCGCACGAAGAACTGCTGCAGGTTTTCATTTGCAAAGTTAATGCAAAGCTGCTCAAAACTGTGGAGGGAAGGACAAAGAAAGGCCGCTTCAGATCCACCATGGTCTGTCTTTCTCCATCTCTCTCCATGCTTTAAGCAATACTCTCAGACCACATCAACCACTCAGTAAGGCTGCTGTTGGCTGAGAATCTCCTTATCAGTTCAGATAATCAGATTTTCTCCCCCAAAACAGTGCTATAGCTGTTATGTGTGTGTAGCCTAAACCAATCAGTTTAGGAAATATGTTGCCTGCTAGTGACTAGCTCTGGTAATCTCTCACATAGAAAAAGGATTGGCCCAGCCCAGTCCTGATCACCTCAGGAGAGGTGAAAGGACTGCAAGACCTTGAGCTTGGGGGATGAAGGAGGGTTAAGACCTGGTTCTTCTTTTGCAGGCTCCATACCTGTTCACAGTGAAGTTCTCAAAGCCAAAGATGTCAAGGAGGCCAATGGATCTCCTGATACTTTTGAGTTCCTGGGAAGGAGGTCTGTAAATTGCAGCGTTGATCTTCTCCACGATCCACACGAAAAGCCGCCCGTAAATTCCCTGCAATATCACAAAGATGGAGGTCACTGAGACAGGTTAGCAGTTCGCCCTGCTAGTCTGTGTCACCACTTCACTCGTGATGGCACAGGCTTTCCTAAAGCGTGGACAGCAACTGGACAGTCCCTGCTTACCAACGCTCATCCCAGACCCTTGGCATGGCTTAAATGTTCAAGAGCAGTTATGTAGATCAAGGAAAACAGACCTGAAAGCCTAGATAAAACACAAGCAAAAGCAAAATCCCAAATTTGGATAGTCCTAAATTTTGTATCTGTGGTCTTGCTGTAAAGCCAGATAATCCTTTCCTGGGCTTCTAAACATCTCTCTCTACAGATCAGCCATATTACGCTGCTAGACAAGCCAAGGACATTTTGCCTGAACAAGGTGCTCACTTAAATGTAACAGCAGTGGCTGAACAGTCTGCTGATTTAATGAAGCAGCTACTGCTGCTTCAGGAATTCCAGAACTCCATGTTTCACGGTGTTATTCCTTTCTTTTGTATAAGCTAGAGCAGTGCTACCAGGAGAGGAGCCTGATTCAAAGGCCCACTGCCTCTACAGAAGTCACTGTCTGGATTTGCAGACTAGTTAGGTATCAAACCAGCTAGCTTGATCCTACCAGTTCCCCCCAGATAGAATGGGGGGCCCAAGCTAGCCAAAGCATGCCACTGATGCTTGTTTTGCAACCTTACGTGGGGCTGCAAACAGCACAGCAGTGATGCACATGCACCCCATCAGCCGTCGTCACCCCAAAGCCTCAGGTGATGCTCCAAGTGCTCTGATGACCGCCAAACTGCTCCATCCCTATTGCTGTGACATTCAGCTTTATTTACTGCTGCAGACACGCCCAAATCCTGAAATTCAGGTGTGAGTGTTACAGGTGTGGACAGAGCTGCTCTATTTACAGCAGCTGAGGATTTAACCCTGCGGCTCAAGCTGGGATGTTTTCCTGAAGCTGAGGTACCCAAATCCTGAAATTCAGGTGTGGGTGTTACAGGTGTGGACAGAGCTGCTCTGATTTACAGCAGCTGAGGATTTAATCCTGGGACTCAAGCTGGGATGTTTTCCTGAAGCTGAGGTGAAGTCATTTCAGAATGCTAGCTCCTTCTATAGGTTACCTTTTGAGTATAGACTGTGTCAAGTCCAGATTGCAAATCCTCTGAAGACCAGGCTATCTAGACTCCTTCCATCTCCACTCTTTGTGCATCCCAATGAGAACACAGTTTCGAGGCCATCTAAATCCCTTGAAGATTAGGCTATCTAGACTCCTTCCATCTCCATTCTGTCATCCCAATGAGAACACAGTTTCGAGGCCATCTGCTGATCTGAGCTCACACAGGCACCAAGCGCAACACTTTTCCTGTGCAGTGGACGCTCTGGTCTCAAAAGTGCCAGATTTCTTCAGCTTATCAACAGGAGCAGAAGGGAATGTTCTAAGACTTACCTTTACAAAAGCATCCCTCACATCCAGCGCTTGTTCCATGCTGAGAGGGGTGGAGACAGTCTCGCCCCTGGTGATTATAGTCCGGCTGGTAAGGCAGTTCATCACGTCCTGAGGCTCAACCTGGCAAAGACAGCACCAAACACAGCTGCTGACTTTGTAACACAAGGTGTCCTTACAGTGGCCTGGGCTACTGACCTGAACATGCATGGCCAGAGGAAGAGCACAGCCCCCCATTGCTGGAGGTAAGTGACTTTTTCTGAGCTGTACAGGGCAAATAACTCAAATGATGTCACAGGCATTTTCAGAGAGAGTAATTAACACTTTTATACAGTGTTTTACTATGGAAAGTGTTCTTGTGACTTAGTGTGAGACGTTAATGAGGCGTGGGGAGAGAAGATGAAAAAGCAAAGCCTGCAAAGCTGTATCCGACCAGCGTGAATGTAGCTTTGCATTCCCTTGACCCCCTTTCATACTTCTGAGATCAAGTCAGGGAAACCTCCGCCCCCTAAAGTACACGAGAACAGCCTGCAGACAGCTGTGGGTCACTCTCTGAGACCAGTGGTGCCTACGGTGATGAGATGGTGTCCCCAGGGGAGCCCTGTTACCTGCTGGGGATACCAAGGAAGAATGCTCCAGCTACTGCATGGGCAGTTTGGGTGAGGGTCATCTCACCTCACTTTAGATGCACACATAAGTCACATCTCTGTCTCAGCTACTGTAATGAACTCTCTTTACATCAATGAGGGAAACACTCTATTTTAGGGACTGAGCTATTTTGGGCATCCTTTTTAGGATGACATGCCACCAAAGTGTCTGTTTCTCTCCACTGGTATGGAGGGGAGCTTGGATACCCAGCTGAGATGGAGACATCTACCTTCATGCTGCCACTGCAGGACAAAGTACGGCTTACCCGGGCCTCTCCAGCCTCCTAGAGCTGGTGGTGCAAGGAAAGCCTGGCTCAGATGAAGCTTTGACATAATACTGGGAATATGGGAACAAGCCAGAAAGGGGACAGCAGCACTGCAGAGCCACTGACCTCCAGCAACGATGCTGCAGTGATTAGTGACGCTGACTGAACAACCTCGCAGGCATCCAGGTTGTCATAGGTCCGAGCTGGGGGAAGAAAAGCAGAGGGAAAGCCGTCAGCGAGGGATGTGGCTCTGCAGAAGCTGGATGGGGGTCAAGGAAAGGGTCATTCTCCACGGCCTCCATGTGATGGCCAGGAAATATCTGCCCATCAGAAGGAAGAGAAAAGTTCATGCAGCTGCTGGAGTCCTGCTGCTGGCTGCAAAGGATTTGTACTCTGCTCTGCCAGCCACCTTAAATGACTGATGGGGTAAAAACCTTTCTAGCATGTAATTGCTTTAGGCTTCTGTCTTCCAAAGAGGCTTTTAAATCACTGTGTCATTTCTGACAGCAGGACGGTTTGGTACTTTTACAAAGGCATATCCAGTCACACAGGCACTTGTCAAACACTCCATTACTCTCTCCTCGCAAAACCTGAGTCTACTGGATGGTCTGTGGCTGCATTCAACCTCCCTAAATTCGGGAAAGGCGGATGTCACTGAGCACACTAGAGTCTGGCAGCTCTGCAGAGTGAGCAGTGGACTTATTCCTCCTTTCTTGTCCTTACACGCCGCAATAACCACCTGAGTGCCTGGCATGGCACCATGACAGGTGGTCTGGATACAGCCCTCCATCCCTAAGCTTGCCTCCCTCTCACCGTGCAGAATAAGGAGTAAAAATGCACTGGACCGTGTCCCTGTATTTCATCCTTTTACCTTCGTACTGCAGGTTCCCCATGTGCAGGATGGCAGCCAGCAGCTTGGAGATCTCCCAGTTCTCCGTGTCGGTGAACATTAGGACCTTCATTGCAGAGCGGATGTTGGCGTACTCCTTGCTATCATCTCTGCCATCGCAGGTTGTGCAGTTACCCTGGGGAGGCAAAGAGGTTGCACAGGGCTTGGGGTGAAGCAGAAAGTGTCTGGCGTGGAGTGGTGTGATCCTAAGCTATTCAGGACTTCCCTCTGAATCAGCAGACATTTTCTTTAAGGGTTGAATAAGCAAAAGCTGATGTTGAACCTGTGGATCTGGCTCTGCCCTTTGGTGTTAACTATGATTCGGTGCTCAGCTTTGTGACCAGCACATACCCTGCTGTCCCCAGCTACCCTGTGTCTCGCTGCAATCAGCAGAGGAGAAAAAGCACACTGAGGTGGGGATACAGAGAGAGAAGGAAACCTTCTGGAGGCTCTCACCAATCCAGGTAGAAAGCTGGGTCCCAGCCCTGCTGACGATGGGCCAGCCTTAATTGCACCTGCTTCTACCAGCTCCTCTGGATTGCAACACTGGTATATAGGGAGTGGGGCTGGATATTGCTGGCTTTGTCAGACACGTGGAGTAGAGACAGCTCAGTACAACGTGCCGCTGAGAATTCTCCATGCAGCCATGCATGTCTGCTCATCCATTGCTACTACAAGAGCATCAGGTTGTATCTGATACCCTGGTTATTTCCAGACCAGTGGCCTGGGCACCAAACACCAAAACCATCCAAGTATATGTTCTGCTCTGCAGGAGGAGTGGAAATAACCTGGTCTACACACAGGGTTTGCACTAAGACTGTGAGGCTTGCGGTGGTTGGACAAAGAAGTCCCACAAACTCTGTGGCTAAGACCCAGGAAGGTCATAACCAGCAAAGCAGCTCTTGGGCTGTGAAGGAAGCCACCTCCCTCTTCTCTCTCCCTTGCTAAGAAGCTCTTACCATCACCCCACCAAACCTCTGCTTCGCTGCGCTCTCACCATCGCAAGGTAGTTGTAGTCCGTGGCTTTGCCAAGACCCAGCTTCTTCTTCTGCTCCAGCGTCATTCCTCTCAGCATGCAGTAAAACACATGGTAATTCCTCTCGTCCTGGGCCTGCAGTAGAAGAGCAAGCGTCAGCTCTGTGAGAACAACACTGCAAATGTCAACTGACTGAGTGCCAACTCCCACGCTTTGCAGATGTATCACCTTACCTGCCTGCAGACCCGGGACTTCTCCAGCAGGTACTGCTCAATCTTTGCCCCCTCAATGGCTCCCCTTTTATTGAAGTGGATGTCGATGTACTTCCCAAATCGGCTGGAGTTGTCATTACGGATGGTCTTTGCATTCCCGAAAGCTGTGGGGAAGAATTGCAGTGGGTTAGCATGGACCTCATGCAGGAAGGATCATGGCTCTGGTCTCATGGGCAAAAAAAATACTCAAAAGAGGGTGGCTGAGAGGGTAAAATCAGCCCTGGAGTCTTTCCTTTAAGTTTGGCTAGCTCAGTATCATCTCAGTGAGGGGACACCTCCCCTGTGAGGACAGGCTGAGAGAGTCAAGGTTGTTCAGCCTGGGGAAGAGAAGGCTCCAGGGAGACCTTATAGTGGCCTTCCAGTGCTGAAAGGGGCCTGCAGGAAAATGGGGAGGGACTTTTTACAAGGGCATGTAGCGATAGCACAAGAGGTAATGGTTACATACTGAAAGAGGGGAGATTTCGATGAGATATTAGGAGAAATTCTTTATCATGAGGGTGGTGAGGCACTGGCACAGGTTGCCCAGGGAAGCTGTGGCTGTCCCCTCCCTGGCAGTGCTCAAGGCCAGGTTGGATGGGGCTGGGAGCAACCTGGTCTGGTGGAAGGTGTCCCTGCCCGTGGCAGGGGAGTTGGACTGGATGGTCTGTAAGGTCCCTTCCAACTCAAACCGTTCTGTGATTCTGGGAAACAGGATATACCACAGGATATATTTCCAAGGATGTCCTTGGAAATAAAGACAGGAGCACAGAGAAGGAAGCGTGGGAATGGGGTGACCTTATCCAGGAAGAAGGGACCAGGACAGCAGGATTTTGGCAGCAGGTGATGAAATACAAAAGGGTTGAGCAAGACTGGCAGGAGGATGCTGCAGTGTTCGAGGTAACGCCGTGCGGGAAATGACAGAGCTGCCGGTGAGTGATTTGGTGACTGAGAGGGAAAGGAAAGAGCTCATCCTTTAGGGAAATACAGAGGGACTAAGCCAACCTCCAGAGGGAGACTTCTCATTGCAAACAGACTGTGTGCAGAGAAAGGTACTCATGTCCATCCGCTGTGTGGGTGTGGACTGCTGCCATGAGCACCCTGGCCAACATGCCCTGGAATTTATGCTCCAGGATTGCTGGCAGGTGGTGGAGATGCATTTGTAATACAGAGCTCCTCTTCCCCTCAATTCTGGCAGTTCAAAACCACGCTGTGTTCATGCCGTGCACCGTAATGCTCTACAACGCCAGTGGTCAGGCAGCACTGCAGTGCCCTGAGAGCCTCGTTGCCTCTTCATGCCAGAGCTGAAGGAAGCTCCAACAGAGCACAGAGAAGAACAGCTCAGCCGGTGACTTTCTTGTCTGCTCTGCTAACATTAGGCATGGAAAACAGTTAGGATATTCACGTTTCCCCTGATTCCTAGGGGGCTGCTTACCAAGCAGAACACTGCTCTCTGTGAGCAGCAGGGGAGGAAAAATAATGTTATTTTTCTGGAAAATGCTATATTTCCACCTAAGTGTAAAAGGTCCATTTGGCATCATGTTGGGGCCAGAGGGTCCGATCACCGATCACCTATTTAATTCACAGAAATCCAATTAAAACAGCGGGGCTGATAACAGTAACAGCTTGCCAATGAACCTATTAAGGCCACGAGCCAGTTCTCGTTATCTGGTTCTTTCTTGAACTGCCTTTGTTTCTTTTTCTGCATTCTGCTGCCGTTCACTGATCTTGGAAGGAAAAGGTGGGGTTTGCTATTGTGTATCGCAGGCATAAGGTGTGTAATCTGTGAAGCTCTGGTCAAACTGATCTCATGTTCTGCT